CCCGTAGGCTAACCTCTCCTAAGGTTTTTGACAAATATAAGAATTTTTTTTGTGGTTTAAATAATTACAACAATCTCCCCTGTTTTACATGACAATGTCAAGATTTTCCTTTCTGTGAAATTGTTCCAAACGGTGTTACTTTTTCTATAGTAAATTACCTTATTGCCCTTCTTTTTAAAATATTAAAAAATGTTTTTAGATTGGAAGACAGGTTTGGAAAAAACAAACAGTGTTTGGAACAATATTTTTGGATTTATTTTTTTCAAATATTAAAAATTATTTTTAAAAAATTATTTTTTTATTTTAAATATATAATTTTTATTTAAATATTTTATTTTATTTTGTAAATATTTTAATTTTTTTAATTTTAATATAAAGATGAATAAGCTTGTCTAAAACGACTTATCAAAAAAAGTAAAACATTTGTTTGGTTAACTAATATTTATAATAAAAATTATATTTAAAATAAAAAATAAATTTTTTTAAATTTTTTAATATTTAAAAAATATATTTAACATAAGTTTGTATTTTTTTAAGTTTCTGTTTGGTTATAAGTTTTGAAAATAATTTTTGAATTGAGTTTTGAGTTGTGTATTTGGTTAAGACCTTCGGAGTTTTGAAAAGATTCTTAAAAATTTCAAATTGGAATTGTGATTTTAAAAAAGAACCAAACATGTTTTTTTGTTAAAAAAAATTCGGTACATGTTTTTACTCAAAACTCAATTCAAAATTTATTTTCAAAATTCATAACCAAACACAAACTTAAAACTCAATTCAAAACTCTTTTCAAAATTCAAAACCAAATTTTTTCAAAAACTCTATTTTAAAAGAAAAAAAATTTTCAAAAAAGTTAATTTTATTTTTTAAAATGATTTTTAGAATCATGATTTAAGTGTAGAGTCGTATTTTGAATTATGAGTTTTGAAAAGAAAAAATTTGTTTGGTTATAAATTTTCAGATTTTTTGAATTTATTTTTTTAAGGTAAATATTTTATATTTTAAATATTTATTTATTTGTTTTAATGTGTATTATATTTCATACATCTATGTGTTGTATTTTTTTTTTAATATTTTAAATATATTTTTTAAATATTAAAAAAATTTAAAATTTATTTTTTATTTTAAATATATATTTTTTTATTTTTAATATTTTATTTTATTTTATAAATAGATTTTTAAATATTTTAGTTTTTTTGTTATGCGTTTGGTTATGATTTGAGTGTAGAGTTTTGAAAGTAGTGTGAAGTGTCGAGTTATGTGTTTGGTTATGAGGTTCGAAAATAATTTTTGAATTGAGTTTTGAATTATGTGTTTAGTTACAATTTGAGTGTGAAGTTGTGCTTTGAGTTTAAAATATTAAAATTAAAAAAGTTAAAATATTTAAAAAATAAAATAAAATATTTAAATAAAAATTATATATTTAAAATAAAAAAAAAGAAATGTTTTTTAAACATTTTTTAATATTTTAAAAAAATAAATCCGAAAATACTATTCCAAACACTGTTTGTTTCTTCCAAACCTGTCCTCCAATCTAAAAATATTTTTAAATATTTTAAAAGAAAGGGCAATAAGGTAATTTATTATAGAAAAACTAACACCGTTTGGAACAATTTGACAGAAGGGAAAATCTTGATATTGTCAGGTAAAGTAGGGGAGGTTACTGTAATTATTCAAACTACAGGAGATATCTCTATATTTGTTAGAAACCTCAGGGGAAATAAACGTAATTTCCCCTAATTAATAGGTATTTTGAAAGAGTCTGTTGAATACTAAAGCTATACTCTTTGGTCCTGTTTGGTGCAGCTGTTAAAACATATTATAGATTGTAGCTTAACAAATTATAGATTATGACTTTAATCAGAAGCTGTTAATCTGTTTGGTGTAACTGTTGGATTGTAGATTTAAGTTGCTGAGTGGTGTTTGTTAAATAAGCTGTGAAGTAGCTTTTTCAATTAACTTTTATTTTTTATTATTCACAATTTGTCTACATTTCTCATAAAAAAATAATAATAATATTCTATAGTCCATTTAGGTCTTTTTCTATTTTTAAAAAAATAAAAAATAAAAAAAAATATAAGAGTATAACCATGAATTATCATGTCCACAGTAGAAACTGATAATCAGAAGCAAGGGGTGAGTAACTTCTCAGAATCAGCTTTTTTGACTTAAAATAAGTTGCTAGAATCAGAAGTTGTTTGAAATAAGTTTAACCAAACAGTCTAAAATAACTTTTTAAAAATCCGAAGCCATAAATGGGCTCAAAAAAGTCCCACCAAACACCCCTATAACAGTATAGATGTCAAAATGTATAGTCATAACCAAGATTGATTTACCAATAATGATTCATACCACTAAAAAAAAGACCACTAATAGTACTAATGCATTGAGAATGTCAAAAAAAAAGAAAAAAAGGCATAGTCCACTGCCACATCATTAGTGGTATTATTAGAGCACCACTTTTGGCGCACTTAACCATTTTTCTTGATTTACAAGGTTGATAATGAAAAATGAATAATAAATTATAAATAAAAAAGAGGAAGAAGTTTATATGGTAAAAAAAAGTTGCCATTGTATATTAAAACATTTGGGTTGTTGATGGATAATATTGACATTTTTTTTATTTTTTATGTTTATTATTGTTTTTTAAAATGTTTCATTGGAATATTTAGGCGGCGTTGGTTAACTTTGTTAGTTTCTTGTTTTTTGTTAGAAGAAAAAAGGGAACATATTTCTATTTTTTATTTTTGTTTCCTTTGTTTGTGCAAAAGCAAGAAAAAAAAAATATTTGCTACACATTTGATTTCAAACACATAAATAAAGTAATTAATTAAAAACAATACATTTGGGTTGTGTCAACTAACATTGTGAATTTCTTGTTTTATGTTTAAAGAAAAAAATTAAAAAAGGAACATGTTTATGTTTTGTTTTCTTTATTTATGTTTTGTTCAAACTATAGAGCTTATTAATTAGTTGGCATATCTCTTAATTAAGGTCTGGCAACCTGCAGCTTAGCTTATCAACCCAACCAATAACAAATAAATAAGCAAAGATTTATTAATTAGAATTTAGAAGCTGTTGCATTCACCTACATCATGCTTTTTTAAAAATAAAAAATAAACTATTTGCACATAATTTTTAGTAGTGCAGAAGACATTTCCTCGTAGATATTATTTTCTTGTTATATATTTAACTAAACTATAGACATCACTTCCTCACACCCAAAAATAAATAAATAAAAATTGAAATTACATAACCTCAGAAAAGGAGCTAAAGTTAACAATTATTTTATATCATTTCCTACCCTTTTTTTTTCTTTTAATTTCTCCAAAGATCTATAGAATTTGGTAAGACTTCAACTTACCATAAATTAGTCGAGCTCCAAAAAATCATATTCGAACTCAACTTGTCTAGTATTTGAGAATCTCGAGCTTGACTCCAATCAATTCGATTAAATAAACAATCTGAGTTCAAACAAATCTTAAATAAGCCAAGTTTCAATTGTTCTTAGGCTTAAGTGGTTGGTTTCATCGAAAGTTAAATTTCAAACGAGCTGAGTTTGAATTATTCATGAACAATTTGATATGTTTGCAACCCTAGGGCTTGAGTATAGGTTGGCTGCATCGGAAATCATCAAGGGGTAAAATTTTGGTTAAAAATCAAGATACCCCCTAACATTTGGTAAAAATACATGGATACTCCTGATACTTCGATGCAGCCATCGACATTTGGAGGTTAGATCAGTTTAACCCAAAACCTCACAAACGTAATTAGCAGTAATGATTCTTGCTAATGTCAATCAAAATAATACCTGATATCTCAATATTTCTCTTCAGTTTACAAATCACACTCTCTTAAATTTGACAAAAACATACAGTCACTCCCTGACATTTTGAAGTCGTACTGGTTGAATCCAAAATTTCATCAGTCCATTGGGCAAAGCCCAAAAGAAAGATTGCGTATCATTAAAATATATATTAAAATATCCTCAAGATAACTTATTCTTTATAATCGTATATGCAAATCAAACATGACCTAAGTGAATAATTTCAAAAACATTAAAAATCCTAGTTAATGTAGGGTAATAATTAAATGAAGGCATCTTAGACCCCAACTTTGAAATATATGGGAGTTCAACATCGCCAGTTAATGTTGGCAGAGTACAGTCACAGTGATAATGGTATGCGTGAAGAAGAAATAAGAACCATGAACATTAATAGTATGTTCTGACATATACATAATAATACACTTTGAATGAAGTTGTGTATTCAGGCTTGGTTTGGGAAGTAGGTTGGTTTTTTGGCTTTTTGACTTTTTTGGCTATTTTAGTCTGGGCTAAAAAGCTTGGTTTGGAAAGAGCTTTTTGGCTTTTTGGCTTTTTTGACTTTTTTTGTGAGAGAAGAATGTAATGATTATAGGTTGGATGTGATGTTTTGTTTGTTATGGCTAAAATAGCCTTCAACATCGCCAGTTAATGTTGGCAGAGTACAGTCACAGTGATAATGGTATGCGTGAGGAAGAAATAAGAACCATGAACATTAATAGTATGTTCTGACATATACATAATAATACACTTTGAATGAAGTTGTGTATTCAATGTGTTAACTTACATTTAGCATTGCTCAACCACACATTTTGAAATTCTGTCTTACCCTTTTATCTCTGGAGGGGCTAAACTTAAAAATGATTTTCATTACAAGAATTTGAATCTGAAAGCTATTCAATCATACAACCTCCAAGATCATCTCATTTTCTTTTCCAAATCTTTATTCTCAGCAAATAAGTATCATTTGGTAATGTTGTCAGTTTTGGAAACAAGAAAACATACCTTTCTTTTTAATCACAAATGGACAAGAAAAAAAAAAAAAAAAAAAAAGTTGTTGGTAAAGTTGTTAGTTGGTTTTTTTTTTTTTTTTTGTGTGTGGTTTCCTCAAATTTTGGAAACTATTGTCAAGCAAACATGTTTTTGTTTCCAATTTTCAAATTTTTTGACAGCAAAAACATTACCAAAGCACTAATTACTAAACAATAAACATTACAAGAGTGGAATAAAGTTCTAATTTTCAGCCTATTAACAGCATGAAAGTTACAAATAATTCTAATGAGATTAGTCTAAGGAGTCAAATGGCCAAAGATCAGTGATACATGTAAGACCTACAATAATTAGAAACACTCTTCTAATTAGAAACTCTTCCAAAATGCATAACTTAAGTCCTCAACAAAGGACAAAGCATTTTAAGAAACAGTAACTTGGAGCTTCAACATCAACAAGTTAGTGACGAACTGTCTTACCTCTCCTCATTTGAATAACAAGGGAAGAACACCTTAGAGAATTCAGCAAATGGAGAGTTCACTCAGTTCTTGAATAGCAGTTTCCACGGCCGGCCTTTGTTCAGGAGATTCATGGGTGCAAAGAAGAGCAATCTTCCCAAGCTTAGCTGCTTCCGATTCAGAGAAATTCCCATCAAGATTTGCGTCAATGAAGTCTTCGAATTTGCACCTTTCAGCCCCTTGACGATTCAAATGGGTAATCTTGCGTTTTCCAGAGAGGACTTGGAAAATAATCATACCAAAAGCATATACATCGCTCTTTTCAGTGAACCGGCCAGTGTTGGTGTACTCGGGGGCTAGGTATCCCATTGCCGCACTTGCTTTGAGTGTGGAGAAGATAACGTCATCGGCAAGGAGTTTGTGCAGGCCAGCATCGGAAATCAATGGATTGTACCGCTGGTCGATGAGCACTTTCTCGGCAGATATGTTTTGGTGAACTAAAGAGAGTTTATTTCCTTTCTTTGCATGTAAATATCCTACGCCTGGTTAGAAATAACATAAATTTCAGTACATTAAAGCCAAAAGAAGGCACGCAGATTATTATCCCTATTAAAAACCAGTGTGTTCTACCCTACTAATTCAGGGGTAGGTTTGTGTTTAGGAGCAACTTCTGCACAAGAGGTTTCCCCTCAAACTCTTAGAAAAACACTGTTCTATTCAGTGTTTAAATTCCCATTGCAGACATTCCTCAGTAGAAAGCAAAGTTGTCCTCGAGAAAATGTGTGTGTTTTCCTAATAGGCCATCAAATAAAATGCTCATGAACACACGATGGGTTTGCAATTTTGAAGACTTGACCTATTGTTACAAGACAAGAAGAAAGGGAAAAAAAAATTGATATGCAAGTTAAGAGACTCGAAGTTGAGTCTCTTTATTGGGGGAATGCAACATAAGCCACCAGGTGTCCCCAACAGAAGAAAACATATAGCAACAATGATAAAAAGCAGGAAGGCATATGAAGCACGAACACCTCTCCAGAGGTCACGTGGTGGTGTCCAACATGTATCGGATACAGAACACGTTGCAGAAAGTGTCCCATTTTTTTCAGTTGTACGCGATGGACGCGCTGGGGACACCTTTTTTTTTTTTCCCCCTGCCAGAGTAACATATCCGAGGTCGATGAATTTGATAAAAATAAATGACATAGAAAAAATATATAATATTTACATATGATATATAATCGATATATAAATTTATATATTTTGTATGTGTACCCCATGTGGCATGTCTTGTATTTTTTAAAAATTTGTGTGTCCACGTATTCATGTCCGTGCTTCTTAGAGCAAGGCAAGAACAAACACAGACCTTTGGCAATGCCTTGGATAATAGAAATTCTTGTAGACCATTCAAGAACCTTCCCACTGCTAGCCTTCACATCGAGATACTGCAACAAGTTCCCATTTGAGACAAAATCATAGACGAGAAAACACTCTCCCCTGCCTTTTGAACAGCAAAAGCCTCTCAACCGAAGAAGATTTTCATGTTTCAAAGAGGTCAGGATCTTCAATCCCTTCAAGAACTGAGCTTCATCGGACTTACAGCTACTCTTTGCAATGCATTTAACAGTAACAACAGAACCATCCCTCAATAACCCCTTGTAGATAGCTGAGAAGCTACTCTTGCCCAATAAGTTCACCTCTGAGAAGTACTGAGTGGCCGACTCCACGTCTTCTAGATTAAACATAAAACTCTCAAAAACTTCTTGAGAGAACCCAATTCTGCTCCAACCTTCAGCTGTCGGGTCCCAATTATTGGAATATTCCAGAGAGATGAGGGGAGAGGCACTCTTCCTGTAAACCTCGTTGACCTGGTCAGTACTAAGTCGACTATCGGAAGTATCAAAGGCACTTCCAATTTTCTGTTTCCGGCGACGGTAACACAAGAATGTGACAAGCCCAGTAATTGTCAGTGCAACTATTACTCCAATTGCTCCAAATATGACACCAATTTGTGGCATTCTCGACTGATTTGAACAATGGTTTTGGGTGCAATTTGTGTTGAAGTTTGCTGACTCTGGGATATCCTTTTTAGGAAGACTGTTTGAACCAGGCCCAAATGGTTCCGGTTTGTTAGGGTTTAGATTATCAGAAGCAGTGCAATCTTCCAAAGTGGAAAAACCAGCCCCACATAAGCCTGTGTTGTTTGCGTACAAGAATCCTTCATTTAATCTCTTCAAAGCTTCATTTCATCAAAAAATAAAATTTAAGTGAGCTTTCCCATATTCTAGGGTTTAGGTTATCATAATCGAAAGCATGGACATGAAAGCGAGAAAACAACATAATACCTGTAGGAACACTGCCAGAAAGAGTATTATTTCGGATGTCTAGAACTTGTAGCATTGGTGGGTTGGCTAATTTTGTTGGGATTGAACCAAAGAGCCGATTAAAACTCAAATCCAACCTTTTTAACATTATCAAAGCTCCCAAACTTGCTGGAATTGCACCGGTTAATCCATTATATTGCAGAGCTAGAACACTCAGCTTCTTCAAAGACCCTAGCTGAGTAGGAATGCTTCCAGTTAACTTGTTGTAAGAGAATTGCAAAACTGCAAACAAAGACAACCCAGATAAGGTTCTTCTAGTTAGGTATCATTGAGTCTTGTTAGCAACTCAGAAGCATGACAATGCTGTTCAATCTGAATTAGCTAATATGAAAGAACTCTATTAGTTTGAGAACAAGCTTTAAGCTTTGTGTAGCTCCATATGCACATTTAACCCGTGAAATTATCAGTATTTGTTAGCAAAATCAAAGAAACCCAAAGAGAGAGAGAGAGAGAGAGAGAATGGGGGAAGAAGAAGCTCGAGTTCTGTCAGACAGTCTTTATCAGTTAATTCGTCTCCAACCCTTACCCAAATCTTAAATCAAACTTAAATTTGAGCAAAAGCCATTAAATCTCCTGCACTTCTTTACTCAAACTTATACCAAATTGAGTTTTAAAAGGAGACCCATTTCCTTCACTCAAATTTCTATCCAATCCAAACTTGACACTACTGCACTTTTATCAAACTTTCCATCCATTAATCTCCTTTACTCCAACCCATAGCTTCCACACAAATTTTATTCAAATTTTAGTTTATCCATTGGAGTGCTTCACATCAAATTTTAGTTTATCCCTGTTTGACTAAAAGACTAAGTAAGGATTGGAGATGAATTGAAACTGGCAATACCATTGAAACTTTAAAAAGTTCAAATGACCCGTAAATTTAGCATTTCACAATTACACCAGCAAAACCCAATATCAAACACAAACAAAAAAGAATCTAAGCAAAACCAAAACTTCTTCCATACAGTTTGAAATTAGCTCTTTAAGAATATTAACTAATCCTGAAACAACCATTTTCCCAAAAAAAACATAACACCCATAAGAAACAAATTGTAAAATAATCAGTTAAAACAGTTCAAAACACCAAAAATCCAAACTTTGCAACCACTTGAAAGATTGAGTACCCATCTATTTATATGCATATATAGATACGTATATACACAGATCCAGTAACCAAGACTCTAACTTTCCCACGAAAATTAGAAAGAAAATAAAAAAGACTAACCTTGGAGATTAGACATGTTTCCAATCTCAAGAGGAATTTCCCCAGAAAGATTATTGACATCGAGATACAAATCAGAGAGCTCACTGAGACTCCCAATCTCCTTAGGTACACCACCAGAGAGCTGATTGAAATGCAAGTACAACCCAGACAAGCTCTTGAGCAGACCAATCTCCGGCGGTATTTTCCCGGAAAGTCCTTTTCCTTGCAGAGAAACGTTCACAACCTGAGATTTCTCGTCGCAGGCAATGCCTTCGAACGAGCCGTCACATGGGTCTGAGGCTGTGGGGGACCAAGAAGAGAGATAGAGGCTTTGTGGGTCGAGAGAGGCTTTGATGGAGATGAGAATGGTGAGTTGGGAGGTGGGTTGAGAGAGAGTTGGCGGTGGGTTTGTGAGGAAGAGGAGGAGGAGAGAGAGGAGGTGGGGGAAAGAGAGGAGAAGCATGTTTGGTTTGAAGGAAAATGTTGGGGGAAAATACTGGGAAAGTTATGGGATTATATTTTTCTGGGCTGTGGAAAGTGTGTGTGTTTTTTTGTAGCATGTGGAAAGTGTTTCTGTTTTTTGTGTTCAAAAAAGAGCGAGGAGAGAGATGATAGTCAATAGTTCAAAAAAATAGAGAGAGAGAGAGAGAGATGATAGAGTGTGGAAGGGGCAGGGGCTTTGTGGATTCAAAATCTTAGTTACCGGAAGTAACGGTAACCGGTCACTCATAGATATTTGGATCTATCCAACACATTACACATGGGAAAGTATTTTATGGGCTCAACATTGATAATTAGAAACCACAAAATGAATGAATTATTTGGTATAGTTTATTTGAATTGTATCTATATGAGATTATTTTACATAATTTTTACTTATAATTTAATGGGTATGGCTTCTTTCTAATCTAAGATCAGACTAAAAAGTACTCTTGGGTCCGTGAAGACTCACCACGAGTCTCGTTTTGATAATCTGAATCGTTCGATATATAGAACTCATCGAGTACTATATTCCTGTAAAAAATTATGTTGATCGGATATCGATAACTATATGATCAAATCAGTTTTGTATAAAAAAAATGAACGGTGAAAAAAAAACAATTGACAGAAATCTGATCCAATAAAACAGTTATTGATATCCGATCAATATGATTTTTTACAAACATATAACACTCGATAAGTTTTACACATTGATCGGTTCAGATTATTGAAATAAGACATTGTTGAGCCCTCACGAGTCCAACAATACCCTCCAGTCTGACCTGGAACTAGAGGAAAGCCAGATCGTAATTTAATACTGATAAAATAACTTTAAAAATTTTGATTATTTAAAAGTTAGGAGTGAAAGTTTTTAATTCTATTTTCTGATTATCAATTTTTAACTTATAATAATATGCAATTAACATGCCTAAAAGCATATTTATTTCTCTTCTTTTCTTTTTTCAATAATCAGTATTTTTCATGTATTTAAGTTATTTATGTCTTGCAATAAAAAACAGTTTAACATTTTTAAAATGAAATTAAACTATAAACAATTTCATAAATTTTTCCAAACACTCCCTACGTAATAGGTGTGTCGGGTGGTTGAGTTTACTTGGTGTATTCTTTTACTTATTATTTGTCATGTGATTAAAATTGATAACATAATTTTATGTGATTTAGCCATCGTGATAAACTAAGGGGTTGTTTGGTATGTCCTAAATAAGTATATTTTTTGTCTTTTTGGACTAAAAAATTGAAAAAGAAAATATAGATGTTTGGGTTAACTTTTTGACTTTTTATAGAAAAATATGTAATAAAAAATTGTAAAAATTGGTTTGTAGGAGAAAATTAGGATTGGGAGTTGTACAGCCGTAATTGTTGACTTTTGGTGAATAATATTAACTTTTTAACTTTTTGAGTAACTTTTTGACTTTTCCGCTTTTCCTGGACATGCCAAACTTGGCCTAAGTAAAAAATGACTTATTAAATCTCATATTTATCACGTATCAAATAATAAGTGAAATGATACATAATCACATAGTATAGCGATCCCAGGTTTACCCTTGTTATACAGTGATCCGGACATGTGTCCGTGAATGTTGGTAGTTGTTTATTATCTTGTTTACATCCTTTCTTATTTGGTATTTGAGTTATGGGATGTGTTGGGCAGGTTTGTTACAGGTTGGTTGAGTTTAGAAACTAAAACTAGTTGCCCAGATTTTAACCTGTCCGCTCGAACGGGGGTTTTGGCGCTCGAGCGGAAATTGCACCCTTCCAGTTTTTCCTGTGCAGTGTTGGACGCTCGAGTGTGGGATTGGCCGCTCGAGCGGGGAGTTGGAAGCTCGAGCGGAGACCTGGTTCTGTAAAAGTTCTGGGAGTGTGTATTCGCCGCTCGAGCGGGATTGTTGGCGCTCGAGCGGAAGTCTGTGAGTGACGCTCGAGCGGGGTGTTTTACGCTCGAGCGGGGCGACTGGGTTTAAGTTCCGTGGTTTGACTTTTCAAATCACTTTTTCACTTTCTCTTCTCTCTGCTACTTTTCCAAAAACATCATTGGTGAGCCTCTCTCTCTAGATACTACCTTCTCTCTAGGTTTTGATCTAATATGAGTGATTTGCTCATCTTTGGCCTTTACAAAAAGGTTGTTGATCGTCGAGGGCTACATTTTAATCTGAAAATTTCGAGTTTTGGAGCACGTTGGGTTTTGTCATTTTCTCCTTTGAGGCTCCGAATTTGAGGTAGGGATATCCTACTCCTCTCTATGGATTTTGTCTTTAAATTTTGGTATTTTGAGATGTTGGGGTTGGTTTGGTAATTTTGTGAAAGTTGGGGTTTTATTTATAATAAACCTAAATGCATGTTTGTCGTAGAGAAGTGAAATAAATGTTGAATCATTGATGAAAATGAGACCTAAGGGTTGAAATGGTAATTATGGAAAATGACCTAATTACACCGTTTGATTAATTGGGATAATTAATTGTGAAAAATGAGGAAATGAAGTGAAAATGTAGAGATTGGGAAAATATGGGGTTAAAGGGTGTAGTTGAATTATTTATCACTCATCGAAATGAAATGTTGATTAAATATCCATTTGTGTATTTATTTTCTGTTTAGAAATAACTGCTTTGGGCTATCGGTGGAGGATAGTCGTGATTGTTGTAGACAATGCATGATGATTAGACAAACTGAAACTAATCACTCGAATGTGTCATTGAGATTGACGATTGAAAGAATACATTAAATTTATGTATTGTGTGATGATGTGTATAATTGTTGTTTATATGCATTGTGTTGTGTTGGAGGAGATAGGGAATGTACTCCACGATTTAGGGGAAGATAGGGGATGGACCTCTAAACCGGATGTGTTGGGAGGAGATAGGGGATGGACTCCATAGACAGAGCTCATATGCTTATCTATTATTGTGTTGACAGAGCTCATATGCTTGTCATTGGAAGTGTGATAGTGCTCATATGCATATCTGTGGAAGTGATGATATAGCTTGTATGCTTATCTGTTGTTGTGTGATATAGCTCGTATGCTTATCTAATATGATATGGGAAGTGTTTTTTATGAGTTGTTGTCTCATATGAGTTGTTTGGCCAGGTTCTGAGCCATGGTTGAAATTTGAGAATTTAAAGATATTGGAAAATGAGTTGTACCATGGACTTGTATGTCATGAAAATGTAAAGTGTGATAAAGGAAAGAATCAGTGTGGACCAACTATCAACTACGAATCTTTTAGTCATTGTTCATATTTGGTTTAGTGTATTTCTACTGGGTTGTGGCTCACCCTATATGGGAACATCATTTTTAGGTACAGGTAGCATGCCACCTCCAAGGACATAGCTTGGGAGGCTAGAGGCGGACATACTTTTGTCGTTTTACTTTTGATGTATTACGTATAAATTCAAGCCAAGGGCTTAAGGTGTAAATGAGTTAGTACTCTTTTGTTGTAACCAAGTGTTAACTTGGAAAGCTGTAAACCCGTAGGGCATTTTGCTTTTGTTGTTAACATGTAATACTTTTGTAATCAAACTCTGATGAATAGAAGAATGTGGTTATTTCATATGTTAATGAATGTCTTATTTGATGAGTTTAATATTATTATTTTGAAGGCGTTACACATAACATACCTATTGTATAAAATATTTTTTCCAACACATAACTCTCTGCGCATTTCTCCATTAAAAATTTGAATCCTCTTATTGTAATCTGTATTGTTTTAAATGATTACACACCGCATCAACAAAGGGAAAAATGAAAAGGAATTAATGGTTGAAATTAAAATAAGAACGTTTTGACTCCATTCAGACATCAAAATATATACTTTGACAATTTATTTTAAGGTATTGCATAAATTGTACTATAGCATTTGTACTATAGAATTTCTAGTTCTCTGCATCCCTATCCATTTATTTAAATTTTATTTAAAAATATTATTAAAAAATTTATTTCTTATTTTAAAAATCATTTTTTTATTTACTTTCTCCATTAAACTCCCTATTCTCTCTCTATTCTATTAAAATAATATTTTTAATTACTTTTAAATTTAAGTATTTTTTTAATAATAAAATAATGAAAAGCCAACCAGGGCACTTTTGGACATTTTTAGGCAGCAGCACAACCAAACACCAGCAGGCAGCAGCACAGTCGAGGAAAACAAATAGGGGAGGTTGATCGGCCAAATGACTGATTAGGTCATTTTTGATCATTTTTCTTCTTCAGCTAGAGGTACTCACGGACATCTAAGGGGACTTCCCCTTCACGTCTTCAACGAAATAAAATAAGAATTTATTAAATATAAGGGAGCTACAATGACTCTCTACAAATAGGGAGTCACTGTAACAATCCTAAATTTAAGAGTTTGTATAAGAGATCTGCTGAGAAAGAATTTTTAAAAAATTAACCCCTTATAATAGCAAAAAGATATTATAAGAGAACTGATAGGGATGCTCTTGCATACCTAAAATCTAAATTCCCCTACTATATACCTAAAATTTTCAATGGTGTGAACTATTTAATCAATACGTACTCCGTTATAATTATTTAAAATTATAGATTCTTTTCTTATTACTATTATTATTATTATTATTTTGTTTTAAATGTTCTTTTGTCAACAGTATTTATGGAATTCAATTATTCAACACATTGAATGCACAATTCCAATTTCAGGCATACTTCAGGCATTAAAGTATGGGTGTGCAAAATGTCATTATAGCATCAAAGAGAGAAATGGGTCATGAACTCATTCCCCCACAAATTTGGTTAGAATTGCACTCAAGTTTTAGGCTACTATAAATGCTAACAATGTTACTATCAGAATTAGTGTAAGAAGAATTTTGAAAATAGATTAAAGATTAAAAAAGTTATAAATTTAATCAAATATATTTTAGCCTATATGTATAAAATTTCTCATGTTTCTCAATTTTTTTTGTATTTTACTTAAAAAAAATCAGTAAGTAAACAAATAATTCAGCAATGCTTGCAAGAGGCTTTGACTTCAAATTCTAAATAGAAAAATGTTTGAGGGCCACAATTTTTTAAACAATTGTACTTAAAAAGGATGTTCATCAACTTAAAAAACTCAAAAACAAACTTGAAAAATGAACTTTTCAAAAATTGTGATCTAAATGTTTTTTTAAGATAATTT